TAAGAGTTAAAGGGTTAACAGGCCTGCTGTGGAAGGCTTCGCTGTATATCAAACTTCATTCAGCGTTTTTTCAAATTATTTCCTCTCTAGTGTTCGTTTATTGCCCGTCCAAGGTAGATATAGGCATAGGCATAGTATTTTCTTCTTTTTCTGTCTTCTTCCAGGCTCCATGGTCGTTAACATTCTGGCTTGTGTACGAACGGATTAGAAATGTTGCAGGTGTTTCGGGATTTTGACCCGATTCTGAGCTGTTCTTCTAAAGTACCTTGGAATCGAGTGAAATTACCGAGACATGGTTTCAAAATCGTTATGGGGTGGACGCGACTGGAAAAGACATAATTTTGGACAACAATTTGAAAGCAAAGAAGACCAAAAAAGCGGGGGAAAATTTTATTTACCAATGTCCGCTCACTTGGGGCTAAGAGATTCCAACTGAAGTATTCCTGCCAAGGTTTGGGGTGAATCAGAGGGAACAGTGATAGAAATTTATACGGAATATAAATTCAGAGAATAATCGCCCCAATTAGGAAAAACGTATCAAAAACACATCGAAGATTTTTAAGATCTTTTTTTTCCCACTCGATGATTACGGGCAAATTAATTTACGACTGTGTGATCAAACTGTTTTTCCATGGCATGATCCAAGCTAACAACAAGAATACGAGGAAGGCCAAAGGCTACATAAAAAAACTACAAAATTTCACATCTATCCTACTAGTCACAACGTAGTTGTATCGTAGTTTAATGGAAATTTAACAAAAATTTATACTTTTATTTTTGGACAGGATTTAAGTAATTATTTATTGATGTACAAGAAATTTGACCTTGCTTCCAGGGAGATTAAATCATAAGAATATGTCTCTATTTACTAAGTTATTAACTTTTGAAAATAAATTAAAGAGGAAAAGGGGTCTTTACACGAAATGGAGTTCTTACGCGATATCTACGTGCGATACAACCGCGATACAATCGCCATATACCGAGTGTTAAGACTCCTCAGACGAATTCTTTTCGCCAATTTGACAAACACTTGCAACCAAGCACGATCAACTCAAGATTTCAAAACGCGGAAAAGCCCTTCCAGCAGAGCACCTGAGCAACATGGTCACGGCAAACAGCACGCTATTCGGCGTTTCTGGCACACCTAAGCTAAAGTATCGTGCCTGTGTAATCTGCCTCAGCCTTCAGCTTTAGCAGATAACTCAGACCTCGGCATTGATAATTCACGATATCAACCTCGTCCAATGGTTGCCTATTCTCGCCATCAACAAGGACCTAGGCTAAGCAGTTTTTGTTTTGAGTTTTATCTTGCGCCGTGATTTTACACCAAGACCAGTTCTCGTTTTTATTTTCATCGTCCTTTGCTGAGGAACTTTTACCTTGGTTTTCTTCTTCACTTTGAATCCCTAAAAACAACAAAAGAAACAAAAAGATAAAGATCGAGATGGAAGTGGATATCAAACACTGTTAACAACGGATCGCTCTTAGAAGTGTACATCTAAGTGGTGTTAGTGGGGAAACGTGTATACGTACATAATTTTGATATTGGGAATTTCCTATTACACTCGTTTTCCGACTCGTAAAAAAGCTGCTTCACGCAAATCAACACACGGGAATTTTACGGCCCTTACTCAATCCAGATGTTTCGCTTCAATGGAACTTGTATTCATAGGACTGATCCAAAAAATAAGGACGCTTTTACTGCCTAACTCTCTCACGATGCGGTTTCCCATAGATATCTATCGCAACTTACTTCGGATGCTCTCTTCGTTTTCCTTTTCTTTGTCGAAATATCTGGCATGACGTCTCCTTTCGTGCGAACCTCGAACTGCTCCTCTCTATCAGGGCTTTTTCTTTTTTTCGAGTCACGATCGCTCATGTCATCAGAGCTTTCATTCTGCACCGTATTTCGATCCTTCAATCCAACCACGTGCCCGTTCTGCGTTGCGCCCCGTACAATATCACCTTCGCTTTCATTTTCAAAATCATCGTGATCACTTGCTCCATTCATCCTTTCGTTATCGCCATCTTCATGAATGTCTGTTCCATTCCCTGTGCTTTTCTCGTCCTCTTCCTCCACTACTTCATCTGACCGTGAGTGGTCAGGAATGGAGGGCACATCATGCGGAACATCGCTCGTACCTTGTTCCCGAGAGTTGTCATCCAGTACTCTGAGCCTGCTATCTATAGCGGAATCACTTGTAGAAGCAGCCCCTGAAGTGGCACTAACAGTTCTGAGGAAATAAAAACAAAATCCATTGTTTTCATTACAAATTAAAGTTAGCCCACAAATCTTTGTTCTACTCTCATTCAAATTACTAACTTGGAATTTTTTCATTTCATCGAATTACCCAATTCATGTAAGTTGTGAAAGTTTCTCAATCTTTTGAATCTTCAAAATTGGATGTTTCGGAAGGGCGGTATCTAAAAAATTAGTTTTAAAAAACTAAAGCTGTAGTTTCATTAGAATCAAAACTTCACGCATAACTGCATGCAGTGCGGCACTCGTCGTAGTAAAACCTTGGCGCAGTCGTCTCGTTTTTCAGTCTCATTTTACGCGAAAATTTCACACACATCTGAAATTTGCCATGCAAACGTCATGTAAAAAGGCATTTGAAAAAGCGGGTGAAAAACGCTATCCTGTCCACGTAGTGTTGTTACACGCTTTCCGCCTAGCCCACATGTACACAAAACTTACACTCACGCATACACTTTGGAGCTTCGAGAAAGATCTTGAAGGGTTAAATTATATAATTTTTCCTTTTTCAAAAAAAAAGACGAAACAAAACCACAAGGTATTGCGAATCATAAAGTGGGAATTGAAGGGTTTAAACAGGGGAAAACGTTCGAGGAATATGATCAATGGAATTCAACTTTGAATTTTCAACGATTAGTTATAAGAAACATCAAAATCTCCTCACCTGGGTGTGGTCAACATGAGGGGACCAGACAGCTTCATGGACTGCCAAGTGTATTCAATAAACTCCATTTGCTGTCGAATAATCAAGTACATAAATTACACAGCTTTACAACCACACTTATGACCAATGGAAACAGAACCTTTCGCTATAATTTCCCTCACTTTGAATAAAGAGGACACAACTATGGAAAACCATCTCCTATTCACAATAAATGAAAACATTTTCACATTACTACAGAAACAGTTGAAATTCACACCGCATAGGTTCAATTCATAAGTAAATATATTAATCGTTTCGTCTGTAGCATGACAAAGAAATGGGGCATGAGGAAAAAAAATTGCGAGTACCCATGAGGAATCAAACCTTGGACCTATGAATTTCGCGCTTTGATTCTCTACCAGTGAGCTATGGTGAACTCGATGAATTCGATCGTAAGCTAGGCCGTAACAACGTTAAATTTTAAGGCCGTTCCCTGGCGTTCACCCTTTACACTCTGAAATTAATATGCAAATTCTTCATACGGTTTTCTATAAATTTCCCAAGGTGCTGACGAGGAGAATTTGTTTAACAATCAAGAGGTTTTTTAGTTGGTGATCATTTCCTTTATTCGTGTAAACTCAATGTTTGATTCAGGGGTGATAATATACGGAGAAATTAGATGCTAGTCACTCTTAGAGGTTAAAGGGGTAACGTGTTCTAATCATAATAACAGGAGACAATAGTGAAAGTGTTTTACTATATTACACATCTTAAGTGTCAGAGAAGTCCGCCGAAAGGAATAGAGAGTATCAGTTGAAAAAGACAAACCTGTAGGAGTCGATCCATCCGTTGGAAATGTTTTTCTGCAAGAGATTCAAATTTCAGACATACATTTCTTGTTATACTGACGATAACGATTACAGAAGAATGCTCTGAACGGGAGGGGGGAGGGGCTGTGGTGGAGGTAAGCAGAGGGAGAGGAGAGTGGGTAGTTATTTTTCTTTCTATGACTGAAATTTTTTTAAGCTCTTCAGAAATATCACAAGATAATAGGAAACCTCCAAAATAAAAAATCAGACATCGCATTAACTGACCACTGTAGGAAAGAAGGGCTTCCATTGTGTCTTTGATGTTTTTCTTCTTCATCAGATTGTAAGGAGAATTGTTCCTTAAGATAATAGAAAGCACTGAAAAAAAAATAAAACGCCAAAACGCGTTGTAGAAAGTGACTCGGCAACTATGAAGTAAATGGTCAAACACCAGGGTTTCATCTACAAAGAAACTGAAAAGGTTGAAAACCTCGCATGGCACAAGATGAAAGCAGTGCTCTAAACTGCAAGGAGTCCCTCTTATTCGACGTCCTTCGCGCGCGTAAAAAAAACAGTGAGAGAAAAATTGATGCAAGTGCACCGTGACTCAATCCCTGAGTTCCGCGCTGCACGCTAGCGGAACGCTAGCCTAATTTTTTTTTCCCACTGCGCGATGGACCTCGCCAAAAGAGAGGGACTGCTCGTTGTCTGGTACTCCTCAGTAGCCCCCATTCGAATGGCACACACTAAGCTTTTATCTGCAGATGTTAAAGTTACAGCCTCCTTGTAAACCAGGAAAGTGAGTAAATAATGTCTATATTTAAAGAGGGTGACACACACAAGTTAAAATTAATAAACTAGTGGCCCATTAAAAGCAGCACCATAAGGAAGTATTACAGAGTAGCTTTCATTTGATTGGTTTCACTCTGGGGTTTTATCGACGACACTGATAAATTCGTTGATTCTTATCAGTTTTTAAGTGAGTAATAAAATGATGCTACAAGAAGTTAGATGTTAATCCCAATAGCGAGTGAGAAGGTTTAACTTTACCAGATTGAGCGACATGGCAGTTCTTCGAGTTAGTGTTCCACTGCACAATAAACCTCAACATAGCATCTGAAACAAAAGCAATAAATCGAGAAATAAAGTTCATCGAGGTTAAACCTAATGACCAGTTGTGGTCAGCATAGCTTCTTGGACTCCACCTAGTGGAATATTTGCAAACAAACACCTTAAGACTGTTCCAGGCGACTGAGCGCCTGGTGCAGGCTGATACACTTCTTACCGAGTTGATCTTCCCTGAATGATTTGATTGCTTTTGTCAACTCTTCTGTTCCATTTTCAGTAAGAAGGATATCTGCATTGTGGACAAAAAGAAAAATACTTAAATAGATGAGACTCTCCTGCATAAAAAGTACATCAAGAAAAACCCAACGCTTCACAGGATGAGATGCATGTAAGGTACTGTACCTTTAACGATGTTCATAACTCTAAAAGGCTGCTCCAATGTGATGGCTAGACTAATTGCTTGGAGATAATTCTTGTCAGCGATTAAGTTTGACAGTTCCTGTTGTCTGTTCGAAAAAAATAAAAAGATAAATAATATTTAGACGAGAATGACAGTACAGATGATGAGTTATCCTAGCAGTATATTTAAACTTAGTACAACACCACAATGGCAGTTGAATGGTTGGTAGTGGCTCAATTGCAAACTCGTACGCACGTTAATCACGAAATATATTTTTTGAGATAAATTTAAAATTTAGGAAGAAAGGGAAATACCATCATAAAGTTGTCAGCGCTTCTTCTGTTGGACGGTATTCTTAAGATGATGGCTCATTTTACGGACCGTGGTATGGATAAAAAAAAAAAGGCTTTTCATGCAGGTCGCCAATGGTAGTTTTCTAAGACAGTAGTAAAAATTGTGTTACAATTTTCAAATCAATCATCTTATTTAAAGTAACTCACTTTAAAATATTCTCTTCGATGACAGCTTGCGCTTGCTCTTGTTCGATCTCTGTGACATCCTAATTGGAAAACAATTCACTAAAATGAGAAATCAATGTTCCGAATGTTCCGTTGTGTTCTCACTTTTCAGGAGGAAAGAGCTTCACTTAACACATGGAACAACTTTATTGCGGAAGAGGATCATGACACAAACCTTCCAAATATTAATCACTGAGTCTGCGCCTCCTGAAATAAGTTGATCTTGGTTTTTATTCACAGCTATACTCCACACCTAGGAAGATAAACAGTGTTTCGTTTTGGACTGTTTGTTTCTTTTTCCATCAGCACAATAGCTTGAGAAAAGTCAGATTCGAGAAGCGTGTAAACAACACATACCAAAACGAAAGGGACCCACCTTGTCCAGATGTTGATCAAACGTCTTGACGCACTCGTTTGTTTTTATGGTCCACAGTTTGAGAAGACCCTCAGAGCCACTGAAAATTAGAGGAAGCATGTGGAAAAAGCGAAAACACGGTCATGTAGAGCAGAGGTTTCAATAAACGCCAATTAATCCCTTAGCCCCTGAGAGTGACTAGCATCACATTTCTCCCTATAATATCACCCCTGAATCACACGTTAAGGTCATGAGAATAAAGGAAATGATCACCAACGAAAGAAACTTTTGGTTGGAAGACAAATTCTCCTTGGCAGCACCTTAGAAAATGTATAAAGAGCAGTATGGAGAATATGCCTTCTGATTCTAGGGTGTAAAGGGTTAACGACAGCCACCTTTTACACAAACGGCAGCCGCCCATAGAAAAATGTAATAAAGCCCCTGTGTAAAGGCCCAAAGGAAGTAAAGCGAAAACGCACCTCTACGCGACAAATGAACTTCTAAGCGATTCAACAAATTAACGGAGAAGCAAAGAAAATAAACTGTTAAAAAAAATTTTAGGAGGGAGATTCAAGTATAGGAGGACGGATATAAAGAAACACAGACAGACGTACAGACAAAAGAACAAAATTCACCTCGAGACAAGCTGCATTCCTCTGGTCAAGAAACAGATCTTTAAAACCGAGCTGGTATGTCCCTCTAGTGTCTTAACACATGTGAAGTCAGACAGGGCCCAGATCTTGATGGTTGAATCTGCAGATGAAGTCGCCAAGCACTGGTCCACAGGCGAAAATCTTACGCACCAGATTCCTTTCTTATGGCCGCGTAAAGTGCCCAGAAGTGAACCATTGGATATCATCCAGATCTACAAAACAAGCACCAAACTTCAAGTAAAAACCCATCATGCTACCCAACAGTACCATACGTTACGTTACAATATGATACATCGTGTTTTGATATTTTATAATCGATTTATATAACGTTAGGTTATGTTTCGTTACGTTAGCTTCTGTTCCGTTATGTTACGTTACGAAACGTTACGTTAACTTACATAATGCTTCAAATTACTTTTCTTTGTGAAATCTCACGTACGGTACTGTAATAAGCTTCGTTTCGACACAACATAACATAACATAATGTTCATCACGTTCATGTTCTCACGTTATGTTTAGCCACGCACTTCACGTTACACAATCTTTTGTTACGTTACACTGACTCGCGTTACGTTTCGTATCCTATAATTTCTGGTTCGTTTTCTTTACAGTTCAATGGATTGTTCTTTAAGCCCACTTTTCAAAAATCTTGGTTCATTCCGTACCTTTGCCGTTTTATCTTGTGAACCAGTCGCCATCAGCTTATCATTGGGTGAAATTGTGACAGAGTTAATGCCCTGCAGTAGAAGGTGAACAAAACTTAGTACACAAGACACAGCAAGACATTCAACATAATTAATTACCCTTTATTGGCAAAAGTTTTTGACGTTATCTCCAGATCGAAGTAAATCCTTTTATACACAACAAGAACAACAATACGTCAAATGAGTCAAAAAAAATTATCCTAAACTTGTTATTTAAGTTATTTATGTCAATCTCAGACCAGCGAGGAAATAATAAGAAAGAACACCTCTCCTTTTTTTTTTACGACTACGTTCAATAATGACAATTCCTTTTCACTCTCTCACTTCACGAAGCACGCTCGAATCAATGTCAGCATCTGAACAACTACGCACCAACCCCTCCACGGTCTTACCCAACAACAGTCAACTAGTAACAAGTTGGGGTTAATGTTGGGTCAGGGGAAGGGTACGTTCGCAGTTGCTCATTGATCCGCACGCTTTCTGTATCGTCGATCTAAGCAGTACGCAGTAGCTACCCGACAAGTTTTCTGCAGCTTGCTAAGCAAGTATCCCACGGTAACCTAAGCACCACCCGAAGTCAATTCAAGTCCTCATCGGGAATCCTTAATTTCCATCCCCTTCGACATGCCAAATGTTTACCATACTATACTCATTTAATCAAATATAGTGTACATACCTTATCATGTGCTTTCTCGGTTAGCTTGACTGACAACTTGATCGGTGAATCCAGCTGCAAAGAAAAAGAGAGGCAAATGTAACCTTGGAAATGTTTAGCAAACATGTGAACAAGAAACGTTCATGTTAGAGTGAAGTACTGAAGACAAGGAAATGGATAATAAAGAACAGAACTTCTTCAGAATAAAAAATATTTATTACACACATCATCTATTTTTGGAGGTATTTTCCATATCTTGACGGTGTTATCCTGACTCCCACTTGCTACAAAAGAGTTGTCAAGCCTGGCAAAAGAAGTTTTGAAAATATTTAGCAAACCATGAAGAGCAATACATCGGCTGGGAATGGCTGATCTACATTGATCAACTGGCTCTATGAATTTCCTGTTTGATCAACTTCACTTAGCCGACGGACGAACAGACGGACGTACGGACGTACCGACCGACGGACCGACAGACCAACGGACCGACGGACTAGCTGGCTAACAAGCTTTTTGACTGTTGACGTACACGCTTCATAATTTACCTGGACCATGCGACTGTGTGGACAGCATGGGTATGTCCCAACCCTGTGCCTACACAACGGAATTCACATTGTTTGTTCATCTGCCAGACACGCACTGTATTGTCCTACAGAAAAATAAGCAATCACAAATTAGATATTAAATACGAAAAAAATCAGTAATATCATGGAACAAACTTCGATTAAGCGTCAAAAAACTAAAATCAAGAAATCACAACAGCCGGGTAAACTGTCTGATACGTAGGAAAACGCTATGCTGTGCCACCAAACCAATTATACTCGTAATAACTGAAATTATACATGGATGTCAGAATAACCCAAACGACAAAGGGAATGGCAATCCAAATTCTTTGTGTCTATTGTAAATCGTCAGATGCTTGTGTCACTAAGGATGCCCCACATACCATTTACCACACAAATTGAGTGTTCTGTTTTAAATTCAAAATTACTTTTTCATGCCTGAAACAAGGCGTGGCTAACTACAGCGTAAAAACTTTTATAACTAGAAAATAAACCATGCTTGCTTTGGTGTTAGTATAAATTTGCTGAAAGGATGAATATTGAGTAGCTTTTATTTTCCGCCCCTGTTCTAGTTTCCCTTAAATTTCTACGTGTACTAACAGTAGCTTACCTTTGATCCAGTGACCAGCATATCACCTGCACTGTTTATCTCCAGAGCTAAGACAATATCGGTGTGTCCCTCCAATAGCTGGCAGTTCATGGAGGCCAACTCATATATCCGCAACTGACTACTGTTAGTTGCCACAGAAAGATGGCTCTCTTTGTCACCAACAAAACTCAAGTCCAAGATCTCATCATTGTATCCTACAAACTACAAGACAATATATGTAAGTGTGAGGCCTGCATCTGGCTTCAGTGCATACAGTGTACAGGCAGGTACTGTCAGATGACAATCTCGAATGGAAACTCAAGGAATAGGTTTGATTTTCAAGTTTCAAGTTTCAATACTAGTGTTAAATTTTCAACGGATTTTTACCAATAATTTTGAAGAAGGGATTGTTTCTTGAAAATGCAATAGAAGTGATGAATAACACAATGACTTACCCTAACAGTACCACATACCCAATAATTTACTTGGTATATACCTGCTTAGTTCTCTTCAGTGATTCCAGCTCATGAAACACAATGTTGTGGTCAAATGTGACCACTGCAACTTGATCCAGGTTCCTGCATAAGGTGGCATGAACAATCTGTTGATTGCCATCTTCATCATTATTGTTTTCGCTCTTATTACTCCTTCTAGCACTGAGAACAGTCTCAGTAAAAACACATTTACCATCTTGAAAACTCCAAACCCTTAGCTGACCTGCAAAGAAAGAGGGGAAAGGTTAACAACACTTTATGCTTTCTGCTTTGGCGCTGTTTATCAGGTGTTTTATGAATATATTATTTAATTACTGGTACAAAATAATAATAAAATATTTTGTGATCTTCTTTTAAGTGATAGGTTGTTATGTACAGTATAAAGTTAGAGCTACTTAAGGTACCCTGTGCTTTCATCAAATGGCAAAATGCTCCTTCACGTACATCAGTGCTAGCTACAGTATGTGACTATTTCAGAAACTATCAGCCAGAAAAATTTCACAAAAAAGTTTTGACCAACATGTAATATTAACTCTTTTATTACCAAGATCAAATTATTAATTCTTCCCTCTAGCAGCTACAAATTTTCTTTTAAATAAGTTACAACTTGCAATTTAGTGAAAGATCAAAATAACAACTTCTACCTGATAACTTTGAGTATTCTCATTACCTGTTTGCTGGATAATGTATGGATATTATAGGGAGAAGTTACATGTTAATCACTTCTGAGAGTTAAAGGGTTAAGGATAATGATTAAAGAGAACATTATTAAGTAAACATGATTATATTTAATCAAGGGTCATACCTTTACTGCCAGCAGTCATGAAATATTCTTTCTCCTTATTTTTGCATCCAGGACAATTGCTGCCTTTAGGCAGAGTGATCACTGACTCTACACCCTAACAAGATAAAATACAGTATTGGTTACTACTGGTTGTCGTACCTTTACCAAAAATATCCTCTGTTCTCATCACTGGGGAATGACATGCAGACTGACTGACCAACAGAATGACAGGCAAACAAACAGGGTAATTTAGCATTATCAACTGAGTTGATAACTTAAATTAGCCACCATAAAGAGTCTCAAAAGCTGACATTTCAAGCATTAGTACTTGGTCAGAGTGAATGACAAAGGACTAATGCTCAAAAAAACAGCTTTTAAACTTTTTCCAGTGGCCAATTTACGTCATCAACTCAGTTGATAATAGCAAATTACCCTGTTATACTCTCCTACAGATGCAGTACCACAGTTTCTTTTATTGGAAACTTCCACCCTTTAGACAAACAAACAGACAGACAGATAGACAAATAAATGTAGGTAGAGGAGTAGAATTCCAAAGAAACTGTGGTGCTATAGTTGTGGGGTTATTACAATACAATTTTGTTCTATCCTCTTAGTTAATAAAGTAAATTGACCACATTATTAAAAGATTTTGAGCTGAAAAAATTTCAAGCATTAGCCATTTGTCAAAGCATACCAGACAAAAGGACAAACTGTCAAACAGACTTAAGGAAAGTTGCGTTAGATGATACCTACACCATGGAATAGTAATTTCATACCTCAAAAGCTGGAATTGTCTTCAGCAATTTTTTGTCAGAAACATCCCACATATTTAGCACATTGTCTCTACTTGAACTGTAGAGGAAGAAAAAGATTAATTGTACAAGCATTACAGAATTAGTTTTCTCTATGAGTGATCAATCAAAAGCAATGCTGAACAAAAAACCTAGTTAATTCCAATGTACAAGCATGTCCATACAGCTGTTTAAAGAAAGTTATTGTGGGTAGTTTTCATGTCACGATTCCTTAACCACAGGATTTCAGGGAAATGTGAAAAAAATGTCACCAGAAAGATGAGCCATAGGAGGTTTGATAAATCTATTTAAATATCATTTGACTCATTAAACCTCATTGGTTACCAGATATCCAGATTATCTTAGTTTCGAGATTGTTGCATGGACTTTTGTCCTTTTTTTTTTTGACAACTTTTCTTGAAACAGTATAACTGATGGGTTCCTTTCTCTAACTCATAGGGGCTGTGCAATGTCTAACTTCAGTTCACATAACCAACTAAAAGTATAAAATCCCATACAGTATAGTACACCTAACCTTATCATTGTCTCTCCGGATTGAGAGAATGCAAGAGAAGTTACAACACTGAAGTGGCTCTCCAAAACAGCAACACATCTGAAAAACAGGTCACAATGTTCTCGAGATTGTAAAAAATTCACTAGACAGCATGTATATTAGCAGTAACTGTGATTAAGACACTCTTAAATTGAATGGCTTCTAAATAAAATTCTCCAAATGTAAAGCTCATGAAAATGTAGGAAATGATCACAAATTTGAGAAGCTCCTGATTGTTGACAAATTTTCAGCCAATGTCTCAGTCTCCAGGTTTCATTTGCTATCAAATTAATGTTCCTCTGTAACAAGGCATCTAAAAATTCATCTGATTTGTTTCTCCTTTTGTAATGCCAAATTCCCTTTTAATAACTAATTTCCAAGAAAATCTGAAGCAGCTAGAAGAGGGATTTTATAATCACATCCAGAGGTTAATCTTATTGACCTATGAGTCAATACCTGCTTTTCTTCAAATCCCATACTCGTATCTTGCAGTCATCTGATGCAGAGAAGAGCTGAAGAACATTTGCATTGGGATGAAACGAAACTAAACTGTAATAAAAAGAAACAAATGTGACCAATGGTATAAACTCAAGTTTGTTTTGCAAGCTAATTAAGGATACAGTGTTTGTTGTTTAATAAACCACACTCTATACTTTTACAAAAGGGCATAGCCGGGATTTTTCAAAAGGGGTCACACTGTGATACGGGATCAGATTTGGGTAAGTACCTATTGTGTCAACATGGGCCTTAATTTCTGTCTCATTGATAAAAATGATAATGGTATGATAAAAACGTACGACATGAAAAGAAATAAGATGTCCTCTTCAATAAACCCATCAGATTTTAAGTCAAATTAATGAAATATTTCTGAAAATCCTCTTAATAATTCGGTCAAAATAAAACTGTATCCCATAACAAAGGGTTCTCAACAGTTTTCACCACTTGAATATTAAGGGCTGTTTACTTAAAAAAGGCTTACAAAGAGGGGGTCATGGGCACCCCACAACCCCTTCCCCCCTGGCTATACCCTTGTACTATAAAATTAACTCACTTAACCACTCCTTGTGATCCTTTAAAATTGTGTGTGTAGTATTGTTTAATAATATCCCAGACTTTTACTGTACTGTCACTTGAACCTACAGAATAAAGGATTACACTGTAAATCAATGAATTCAATTTAATTTAATTATGATATTTATCATGAATAATAATTAGCTCCCATGAGTGACCAAGACAGAATTTCTCCTTACAATATCAATACAATATCAAGCAGACAAGTGATGAGAATTAAGAAAAATATCAGTTAGGGGATTATAAATTGATCCAGTACCAAATTCTCCAAACTAACATCACAAGAACAGTATGGCAGACAGTTAGGAGAATTACTAATGAGATCTTGGGAGTTAGGGGGTTAAAAAGAGACCTGTATAAATTGACCAAATAGAGTTGAACAAATGTTAATTTTTTTAATAAGTATTTAGTTAGTAGATCTTGCGAATAATATTATAATTATCTTCATTCTATATTTAAAATACGGCTAAAAGTAAGTTGACAGTCTTAACTCAAAATTCTGTCCTCAAAACTAACAAGAATCAAAAAAATTTTCAAGGATCTTCATCCCCAGTTTCATGGATTTGATATAGTTCTCTCACTTGATTTGAAAGTCTTTTTAAACTCAACTTAAGCCTCAATTCCTCAAAGTTTTTGAAAATTATGGATTGAGGATCAAGTTTTGAGGGACTATCAACTTATTTTTGAGAGGCAATGTATGTTTTCTTCAAAGACAAGTTTAACATTTACTTACCAGTTGCCAAAAGTGTTGATGTGGCGTCAAAAGTCATTGAAACAATAGGGGCTCTATGAACAGCCTACAAGATACAGTTTATAAATACACAACAAGGATGTTTTTTAATACATTTTAAAACAAATTCAAAACTGCTTCAAGATTTTCAAGCTTCATGTTATGCAATTTTTGTCTAGGTTTTGACCAAATCCTGGATTTCATTCATACAAAATCTGACAGAGTATCTCACAAATGTAGATTAACAACATATGAGCTTCAAACAAACTGTAACATACTTACTTTCCAAGTTCGTATCTGCTCACCAGTGTTCCATTCCCATTGTCTCAAAAGCAAACTTTTACTTGCTGTTACACAGAACTGGAAAATATTAAAAAGTGACAATTACAAAAGAGAGCTTCTCTCCACTGGCCACCTTTGGGTAGTTACATTTATCAAATTGAAAATACCTTGTCGTCAGGACTTGCAGCAAAGCAGCTTATAACATCACCTTCCTAGAGTAGAAGGAGGTCAGTTTAACTTGTAAGCTGTTTGAGTCTTAATTGTATATATGTAGCTTTGAATAATCACTGATATCATCAAAAATCATGTTAAAACCTCAAACCACAGAGATAAAATTTCTTAATTTTTCTGGTTACCTCTTGCAGTGTATGAACAACCTTGCCAGTTTCAACGTGAACAACTTGAACCTTGTCATTGCACGTACAGAATAAATGGTCTTCCTTGGATGAGAACTAGGAAAATCAAGATCAAATCCGTAAGCTTATTATGAGAGAGATCGAGGCAAATGCACGTACGTTCACAGAATATATGGTATTGAGTATGATACTATTAGTTCACAGCTGCAGTAGGTAAAATAACCCATAAACCTCGATCTTAGGCAGACATGCCAGCAAAAGTTTACCTGTACTTTGCCTCCAGTATAGAATGCATCAATCTTCGAGGAAACCTCATAACTACAAAAATTAATTGATGTGTTAGTCGCTAAGGCCGAAAGAGAACCTCTAAGTAATCTACAGTATAACAAACGGCCATAACAACACGTGCTAGATGATTAAATATTCTGCTGCCTTTTCAACAAAATTATAAGTTTCTGGTACACTAGCTCCTTGACGCTACAGAAGAACTTACTTCGATATCAGAAGAGCACCAGGGCCAGAGTTTCTCATTTGAGCCATAACGAAAATATCTAATACGTTCTTGTGGTCCGCTACAGGACATTTCGGTCACTCTCGTCCGCCATGTTTTTGTCAAGTTCGTACCCAGGGCCTTGAGTACGGTTATGAACGTTTGTCCATTTCTTTTTGAACAGGTGAGTTTCAATTTTAATTACAGTCCGTGCAAATTATTCAGTTATCATCCATTCAGCTGTATTCCACCCTCATTTTTAATCATTAAGGAATGTTGCACAGGGTGTCATAGTTTTCCCATGTGTGCATATGTTGCTGCCCTATACGATTTCCTAAATCACGCACATGTTGGTAATTAATCCCTGTTTCATTTAACCCTTTCACTCCCAAGATCTCATTAGTAATTCTTTTTACTGTCTTATAAATAATTCTCATGATGTCAATTTGGAGAATTTGGTATTGGATCGACTAATAATCCAGTAACTGATATTTTACTTTATTCTAATCACTTCTATGCTTGACATTGTATTGATATTGTAAGGAGAAATTATCTCTTGGTCACTCATGGGAGGTAAAGGGTTAAATTTAGCAACCACCCTTCACTCCCAAGAAAAGAAAAGAGACGATTCTCCACAAGAGCTTTCTCAACACACACTTACCCCTAATTTGTTGTGGCTAGTCAAGATAAAAAGGGTTGATTGTTAGGAAAACAAACTTCCATTGAGTCTCCTGCTAGGACTAACAGTGAGTGGCTGATGGAGAAAGAAAGACTAACCTCAAGAGACCAGCAGATATATGGTATAAGGTGTTCACAAAGAAAACTAATTGCAAAGATATTTTTGACAATTTTATTAGTTTACTCAAGAAGGTTGATGGAAACATCATTTTATTTCGCTTTATTCTACACAGGGCTTTAGTTCATCTTGCGAATGAGCTGATTGATCTTGTCTTCACGGTTTCCATGATCACCTCCCTCGACAAAGTGTGTGGTCATCTTACGGAAACCACCCTTCGGAGAGCTGAGCTTGAATGGCCATAGAAAGTTGTTAGCCTCCTTAAAATGCTCACCAACAGAATAGATCTCATGAATGAGGTCCTCCACACAGATTATGCCAAACTTTCCAAGTTGCTGTTCAATGATGGAGTTGTCTGTAATGGCAATGCGCTGTTTTCTGATTTTGCCATGACCACGTTTGTAGATCAACTCACGCACACTCTTCAGATTGGGATAACTAAAACAACAATGATAGATTTGATCTTTAAAACACTTGCTTTTGGCATGTGTCAAGTATAATCTGTAATGATCTATAAGGTTCACATGTAACACTTTCTTGACCATTACTTGCTTGTCATAAACACAATGTTCACAAACACAGAGTAGAAGAAAACAACTGCTAACACTAACTTTAAAGATCTGATTGTTAATTCTCCCCTCTAGCTGCTACAAATGTCCTTATAAATCAGTTAACAATTTTATAAAAAATCACGGTAACAATTTTACCTGATAAGTTTGAGTACTCACAATACCTGTTTGCTGAATGATGTATGGATATTATGGGGAGAAGTGACGTGTAACTTATTATAGTTAAATGGTTAAGAACATTTTTCAATGACCACCTTAAACAATTATATATATAAATAGTACAAAAAAAAATTTTAAATGTCCATTGTATGGTTTATCGCCCCAGTCAAGGTCACAAAGTGACTCTGGGAAGCACAAGGAATATACAATGTACTACACCAAACCAGTTCCCTAAAAAAGAGATACTGTGGGCAGTTTTGATCTCCAACGACATGGCAAGGAACAGACATCATGAGTGATGTGTCTCAAGGACACTCAGCTCCAAAAGCCATTCAGACAGAGCCAGTGAGGGCCAACCCACTAGATGTCACATTGGATGTTCTTTACACAAAGAAATATGACTAAATCATGCACAGTACATGTACTTTATACAGCCAAAAAAGAAGAAAAAAAAGTTGTACCAACCCATAGGCAACATAAGGTTGCACGACTCGCAGCATGTTCATAGTGGCCTTGTTCAGCTTAATAAAAACGCCATTGTGGATCTGAAGCAGACGGAACAACTGAAGGATTTTTCTGACTTTAGGGCTCACGCCATTAATACTGCAGCAAAAAAAGAAAAAAAAAAGTAGCATAAACCCACTGCAAATGTATTGTCTTATCCCATATTAGCAAATTATCACTAGCCATACATCAACCCAATGAAGAACAAAAAACACTTCATAACACAAAAATTACAGAAACTCTTCCTTAGTAACTGTTCATTGCATGGTTTATCCCTCCAGTCAAGGTCACATAGTGACTCTGGGAAGCACAAGGAATATGCAGAGCACTACACCAAACCAGTTCCCACATACAGTGAGGTACTAGGGGTAGTTTTAATCTCCAATGACATGGCAAGGAACAGACATCATAGGTGATATGCCTCAAGGACATTCAGCTCCTAAAAGCCATTTAGACAGAGCCAGTAAGGGCCAGCTCACTGGATGTCACATTGGATAGATCTTTGTAAAACTAACTCACAGTACTGCATTGCAAAAATGCCCCAAATCTACCTTGTACTTCTTATACACTGTTACTGAAAAAGAAAACCTACCCTCTGATACGGACAACAAAAGCAAGCTTGGCTTCAGCAGGGACATAGAAGTTTGCATGCTTTCTCGCCATACGTTTCATTCGGATCTCATCTTTTTCTTGCTGGCGGTATTCTTTCACATATTTCTCAGCTCTCTTAAAGATTTCCTTGCGTTTTTCTCTGCGCACCTATGATTCAATAACATAATGGAGAATGATTACAATCAATTCAATGACAATGGTACTCAGAAATTGTAGATAAAATGAAATCATGAAAAAACAAACAGATCGTCTAGGGTCTACTTAAAATGTCCATTGTATGGTTTATCGCCCCAGTCAAGGTCACAAAGTGACTCTGGGAAGCACAAGGAATATACAATGTACTACACCAAACCAGTTCCCATAAACTGAGATACTAGGGGTAGTTTTGATCTCCAACGACATGGCAAGGAACAAACATCAAGGGTGATGTGTCTCAAGGACACTCAGCTCCAAAAGCCATTGAGGCAGAGCCAGTGAGGGCCAACCCACTGGATGCCACATTGGATCCAAATTTGCAAAATAAAGTATATCAAAGTGTTAAGTGATAATACTATACTTGCACGCAGAAATTTTCATGGTTAAAATTTGTTCAAACTCAAACTACGTCAAGGAATGTAAAGAAAAATTCATCACTTTGTGTGATATAAAAGCCGTATCTTGGCGAAGGCTTGGAATAAAACGAAAAAACAGATATGGCAGCTCAAGGCCAATCGCATCGTCCACTACTCAACATGCTACGGAAGGACAACTTAAACCGTTCAATAACTTAACTACAGTTGGGTTTATTGTAGGAAAAAAAGGAACTGAACCAACCTTTTTCTGCGCTAGTTGTGCTTTCGCCCTAGCAGCCTTCAACTGTTCTAAACTCTTCCTCTTCTTGAGGAGAGTTTCGGGGACACGTGGAACCTTCTCTCTGCGAAATTAAACAGCAAAGAAACGAAAATCAAAATTCGCCCGTTTAACCACGGTAAAACATTTAATTCACGACTGAGAGCTAATCTGAGCTACATTATTAAATAGTAATTTACTGAGAACATCACTTAAAAATGAACTACTACTACTCTTCAAAATATCAAAATAGCGATTTTTCGTGTGACGCTAGTTTGAGGTTTGAGGGAACAAACATGACAAGATCATGACTGTCATTGTGCCCTTTATATTAGTTTTCTCAAAAGAATAACTCAATGAAATCGAAAAGAAATTAATTAAAATAAATTTCTTTATGGAGCTGAGATTTTAGACGTTTAAAAGCTATGCGGATGGAACGGATAGAATCAGCTCTTTGATTCTCACTCACTTATCGGCCATTGCTTCCCCAGGAAAGAGGGAGAGCATTATGGGAAATGTAGGCCGAGTAGCCTAGCCTTAGTTACGTTTTGAAATCTTGTACGCGTCACAAAATGTCTCTAGTTACTAGTTAGAATGAGGGTATTATTTCTCAGGCGATTCATTGATTTTTGAATGACTACTGAGCTCGTTATTACTCTTTTAGGCTCTGGATAATTATTAGGCTTCATTCATTATCGGCTACAAACTGTTCCACAAATCCAAATCGGTGAGCAAAAGCTACAAACACACGTTTAGGTGTCGATGTATTTAGCACCCAAGTGTTAATTACAAACAGAGTGTATACATAATATAGTGCTGATTACTAAAACAAATATCCTGTCGGAGGGTAGTCGAATGGCTATACAAACTTGAAGACGCAGTAAAGCTGTTGATCTCGCTACATAATCGTGGCAACGGGACTAGAAAAAGATTTGAGTAAAATAACTTTAAACTCACAATCAAACGTCCAGAACTGCTTAACGCCGCCCCTGCTATACTTATCGTTCGAGAGGTCAGGTGACCATGTCTGGACAATAATTAGCGTGCTCTATTCTGTTTCTTCATCGTGTACTCTACAGCCCGAAACATTGGTCGAAACGGTACGATGGCATTATTTAACAATAAACTGAAATGTCAGTGTCTTGTTGTCGGAACGAACCCTGACCAGTCAAATTAAGAAAAACAAGATCATCCCCATTGCTTGACTTTAAATGACTGAAGCGGAAAGAAAAACGCCGGAAAAAAAATTGTCATACAGCAATTGGAAATTTGGATCGATCTTAAGGATACATTTCTGCAACAGATCAACGCAGAAAGGAAACACCGATGGAAAAAAAATGTATGCATACTGTATTAATTGCTGTTCGCCTGTAGAAAAATATCGAAAAAGGCCCAGTAACTATCATACGAAAATTACTACTGGAGTTAAAGCGAGAGTTTCGAGCAAATGATCATGATTGCTTAAGAGGAGCAATGTTTTTACTGTTTTATGCCAGACATTCAACTTGGCCTAACACCTAAAACCAATGGGTGAATAAACATGTTTTCACTGCGAGAGAAAACAAAAAAGGATTAAATTGTGCAGCCCTTTGCTAATTACCATTTGTAGGTTTGACGCCGGTAATTGAAGCTCTATTCATGACCGTTGTCATGCTTATCGATTCCTTTTTGTTCCATAAAAGCTTACGTTAATCATCTTTATTTGACCATTCATCAAAAGGCTGTTATTATTTCAGTACAGTGCTTCGAACAGAGTAATCATCAGGCAATGTTTTGGACTCGCCGGTTCCACAATACGCCTTGAATTGAGTTCTTCTTAGCCAAGGTGAGTGGAAAATCACAGATTATTTAGTTAACTCAGCATCACAAATATGTACAAATACAATGCGCTTCTGCCAGGTAGATATCAGTCGAGCAGACAAAAAAGTTCAAATCGTGATCTCAAATCAATTTAAATGCTCGTTTTCAATAATACTCTCTCGAGCTTTGTTATTCGATACCTACGGAATGAATTAAAATGGTCTAACCAAGTTAGCTTAATAGAGTTCGAGAGATGTTAAGGCCACTTTGGCAGGGATTTCTTTGAAGATGTACATACACTACCTTAAGTAAAAATGTCTTCAGCTTCCATTGCCGAATTTGAAAGTAACTCGATCAATTATGAAGAAGAAATAGCCGTAAGGTACATGTTAATCGTTGATGCATTACCAGTTGCTTCAGGTTTTTTAATCAGTAAACTCGTCCGCTTGTACGTGTAGGTTTATTTTCTCTTCAGTGTTGAGAGCAATCCGATACGTTAACTAAACAATTCAAAGTTGCTCTCAGAAGAAATTGAATGTTAATTGTTGATTCGTGTCTCTTTAGCAATGTTTATCTTAAGGTTGGTAATCCTAAGGTTTCAAACGAAGACCGCATTTACACTCCCAAGTCTTCCCTGACGAATATTTTTTTTTTTAAGCTAACACCTTCACCATGTACATCAACGATGAAAACTCGTCAACTGTACGCTCAGGCTAAAGCAAACCTGCTTGAGAAGAAAAACATGTTTCTAGACGAATCCATTTAGTCCTATACAAGTAAGCTAGCAAATATCGTGGTTTTTTTTTGTCTGTGATAAGCTAGCTTTTAAGGAAACACCTTTCATATTTTCTATCTACACGGTCAAGGAAACCACCTACCTGGGGAAAACTTGACAATTAAAAGAGGAAGCTTTGAATAAATGCCATTGATTCAAAGTTTATACTAAGATTGACCTTTGGCAGTGTTTTATATCTGTTTGGTGTGTGAATCATATTATTGATATTGTCAGTATTTTGCATCACGAATTAGATTTTTATCGGCAAAGAATTTTTGAAGGACTCAACGACTGATTAGTGTCTCAGGGATATATAAAGGACAGTGAATGATAATTGCTTTTCAGTAGTTCGATTATAGCCTGTTGGAGAAGAAATAAGTTGCTATATGTTTTACTCAGTTAATGTAGAGTATGAATTCAGTTGATTATAGGCTCAATCAAATGGTCTATTTTGTTAATTCCACAAATATCACTTTTATTCCGTGAAGTTTAACAGTCTACTTCAAAGCTTGAGAATGATTTTGCTGCTAATTGAATTTTATCACCTTGTTCGAAACCACAATATCACCAATTAGATAGGTGTGATATACCAAACAATTAAAACTCAAGAAAAATAATCAACTATTCAGATGTGGTCGCCATAATTGCTGCGTTGGTTTTTAATTGCACCATGCATATATAAGTAATGCTTTCAAAACCTCTGCAGCTTTAAATTTTTAATTCCTATAATAAACAGTAGGTTGGTAATGAACGTTTCGCTCGCACTTTATCTCGCTACAATTTTGTTCCACTGTTAAAACAATCTACCCGATACGATATCTCGTGTAACAAGCCCTCATGCTTAACTGGTTGCACTTGTTTTGATTTTTCGAGAGCATAAGACTAATTCTTGTGATCAGTGTAGTGGTTTAGATAATACTGGAACGAACAGTCCATCGCCACCTAGAAGACCTCTGGCCAACGTATGTGAGCAGGCTCTCGTGTTTAGGTTCGCCTTGTACCTCCTTTTTTATGCAAGGCCGCCTACTTTACCGTCGCAGCTGTTTAAGGATCATAAGTTACATTGAAACCCTGGCAGTGCCTCGCTCCATCCATCAGTCAGGCCGGGGCGCTGGCGATCTAAGACTGAGTACCAAGATACATAAATGCTTAGCTGGTATCTTGCAGTGTTCAGCGGCTGTCGGCTCTAAGTTAAGAGCTGGTCTATTTTAATAGGATTTAAATCTCTACGTTTACTTCGTGTTTCCCTGAGATATCGTTGTTTAGTATATACCACACAGGTGAATAGTACTTTTCACACAGGCTGATTGGCTAATTCGGGAGTGATTAGCAAGCCTCTTCACTCTTCTTCGATGAATAATTGTCAACTGTTTCCTTGATGCTAGTACTGACAGCAGCTATGACCATGAATCAAAGCAAGTAGATGAGCCAGGGAACAAAGCTTAAACTATAAAGTGATAATTTCATAAAGGCGAAATGGTGGATTGCATGAGTTTAACTGAATATCAGCCAGTTTATACATATAAATCATGAAAATTGTTTATTTTAAAAAGGCCTATTTTTTCTTTTCATAGTTGCCATGGTAACTTAGTCGTTTCACTTGGCGTGTCTGAGAAAGACTAGATTATTGGTTTATGTCATTAATTTCTTTTTAAATCGATAGCAGAAAGCTAAGATTTGAGCTAGTAATTTTTTGTTTTAGTAAAGCTACATTCAATTTTGACTTTCATGTATAATGAGCAAAGTAAATAAAAACGTGGATTAATGAATGAATTTACAAGAGAAGTCGGCACGGATTAATAACAAATTTCAAAGTTTAATTTAGAAAAGAGAGAAAAATGATGGTTGATTCCCGCCTCAGCGGTACCGACTTTTTTTACCGCTAATGAATAATGCTATGTACGATCATTATAAGAAACCCCTAAAGCATTTCATTCATTTTAAACTTCAACCGATCAAAAATTAAATCTTAGACGCCAAGAGACACTCAGAACATTTCGTAATTTACACTGTCTTTCAAAAGTCACGGTATTTAAAGTGAACGATGTAACAAATTTTATATCTCGGTGTCAAATGGTGACAAAGGCGCTTTCGCTTCCCCTAATGAAAACATCTTGAAGCTTTATCGTATACTCATGACAAAAGACGACAAAACACCCAAATTAAAGTCCAGGAGCAGAGGAGCGATCACTTGCACGCAAGCGTAATTACATGAGACATTTGAATAACATTAAACACACATTACCTGTGTTTATAGATCTGTATATAGTTGTTTTTCTTCGAAGTTTGTCCGATTTCAAGCTCACAGCCAATGAACGTAAAGGATTATCTGATTAAGGCTGCGATGAACATTGAAGATCGATGAACTTTTCAAAGAAGAACTAAAACGGCTTTTCTTTAAATGCATATAAGGATCACTGCAACTTGGGTAAGTGCAGTCAGCGCGATTTGCAATTTTAATGTTTTTCCCCTCTGGACAATTAGCAAAAATGTGTTTGCGATTGTCATGTGTTTGGTAAAGCAAACGGAAGAGGGGCAGTAAAAAAAGGTTGCTGGTAGCTCTTTATAATTACCTTAAGTATTAAACTAAATATATTTGCGTGAGATTTTCACGGTACTTATCGAAAAGATAAAATGACCAGGATATATGACTTTCGTGCTTTTATAGTATGGTGACAGACATCCTCAATATAGAGTTATGCGTTAGCGAATCAGTACTAATCAATCTATTCCCTTTTGCTTCATCTCGTAATATGGTGCAAGAAAAATAAAGGAAACTAGACAGGTTGGAAGTTTGTATCCTAAAGTTTTCCTTACCACCTCTCTATCGAAAACGAAAACTGGACAACGTATGAATGACAAAAGACTGCTAAGTGTGAAATAAAAGATAAAACGTCGGCCGGGCAAGACTTGCCGCCAAAAAAAAAACAATATCATCAAAAGATATGG